ATCTGAGATTGGTTCTACATGTGCACTGTAAACAATTATGTCAATTGAGATATATGTAGAACCAATTTTCCAAAATCTTTTGACTAATGTTATCATCTGAGATTTCCAACATCTGTGCATATTAGGAAAAATTGGGTTTAATTGGTTCTACATATATCTCATACACATAATCAACGGACTAATCTGAGATGTTTACATGTGCCTTAGTCAGAGCGTGGATAACATGATTCGCAGATCTTTTACAAAAAGAGATTTTAAAGTTACTCTTTGTTTCTAACATCCTAAGAATATCATCAATAATAAGTTTTTTTATCATCAAATCCAACAAATCTATTATTAAATCAAAGTAACGTTCGTCACATGGCTGATAATACAATCAAATAAAAAGAAGCAAAGTGATAAAAAGCCTAATGTCTGCCGTCCGCCCTCGAACTAGACTTAGAATGTATCACCTATTCACCTCTGTAGAAGCAATAATATTCGTTGATCCTGTATTGTGATAATAATCAATTCGCTGTATTGTCGGGGACAACAGCCGCCAGTGCCGAGACTCCGGCCGTTATTGCTGGGGATAGCAGCTGCCATCACCGGCGCTCGAGCGCATCACCACCTTGCTCCGCTGTTGTTTACACTCTACTAGCTCATCACCATCGTCCTTCCTCGGCCGACGACAACACTCTTCTTCTTTGGAGACTGAGGCTTACGAAATTCACCATGAGGCCTTCTTTCAGAAGACTCACGCCGTGCTAGTGCTGGTTGGCTTGGTGCCGAAATGGCTGAACAGCTGCCAGAGGATACGTTTCCGAGCTCTTCTGCGATGTCACCAGGTTGAATGAAAATCTGGAACATGAACAAAATGGGGAAGATGGACCCAGTCTTTGCCGACAATGAAGTGAATGGGAACAAGGCTACAAGGCCGCCACGCGGGAAAAGAAAAACAAAGACAAAAGGGAGAGAGAGAAAACTTGCCAAGTGAGCTTCCACCAAGGCTGCGACACGCATGTGACTTGGTAACTGGTAACTAGTGCTGTTATGGAAATCGAGCTTGGTTCGAACTTGGCTCGACTCGACTCGGTAAAGCTCGAACTCGACTCGTTTATTCCAGGAATCGAGTCGAGCTCGAACTCATTGGTTTACTCGATAAGATTAACGAGCCGAGCCGGCTCGACTCGAAAAACCCGATAAAGCTCGTGACAAGGCTCGTGAGATGGGTAAAATTGTCATTCTATCACATAATAGGTTTAGCCGTTTAGGCCCATTAGTGCTGGTTGAACATGTGTTGTAAACTTGTAGTTAATAAGTGAGTTTTCGAGTTCGAGTTGCCGAGCTCGAGTAGCTCGACTCAGGTATATTAATGAGTCAAGCTCAAGCAGTAAATAGGTTTAACCAGCCGAGTTCGAGCTCAAATACATAATCGAATTTTAACGAGCCGAGCTCGAGCCAGGCTCGAAAAATGTGTGAGTCGAGTTCGAATTTGTGATACCGGGCTCTGCTTGGCTCGAATAACAGCACTACCGGTAACTCACTTACTAAATAGCTCAATTGAGTATTTTTAAGAGTACGAGGATTTAATTGGACTCTTTTTAAAGTACGGGAGTCTGATTGACTTGTTTAAAATAGTACGAGGACGTATTTGATATTTTTCCTTCTCTCTTTACTATCTTCTTTCATTGGATTTGTCAATGTTGAGTGACTCAAGAATTAAGAAAGATAAAGTTTTGTTTTACTACTTTACTTTACCTCTCATAAAATAGAGAAATTAAAATAAATGGAAAATGAGGTAAATGTAATGGCAAGTTTGTCATTTTATTCATCTTCCCATACTTAAATATGAATTTTACAAATCAAATTGAAATTTCTTTTGCGACCAAGACTGCGTGAAAAAACAAGGCTGGTAGCGTAAAAACCTTATTTAAAGTGTTGCCTCCGTCTCAAAATACTTAATCATCTCTAAAGATTTGGACTATGATTTTGATCAGTATAATATTACGAAAGTTATTATTTTTATACTCTTATGAAAGTGCTTTTAACAAAGAATATTTTCAATAGAATAATAAAATTGGTCAAAGTATTAAAAATGGCTATGTTTTTTGGGACGAAGACAATATTTTGTACTCCATATTAAGAATGCAAAATATTTTAGGATGTTCTTACTTGGACAGTTTTAGTCTCAGACTAGACCATACTAGACTTAAACAGACGAAATTAGACCAGACCAGACCAGACATAAACAGACCGACTTCCATAGTTATAAAATACAAAGAGACCAGATATTTACCAGATCATAAGACGAGACCAGACTTAAACAGACCAGATCAGACTAGATCAGACTTAAACAGATTAGACCAGACCTGACCAGATCAGACCAGATCGGGCCAACAAATTATAGTCTAGTAAAAATATCCTTACTATTCTCACCCAGCTATGTTCGGCGATGCATTTCAGCCCATTATTGACGTCAGCTAATAAGAAATCAAGTAGTCCTGCTTGGATCTGATTCATAAAACTGAGGGAGCAGAAGCAGAAGCTGGAGAGTTTGTGTGAAAGTGCAGAAGTGATTCTGGTGCTCTTTTTTACTCCTAGAATCAGTTTTTTAGAAGATGGGGATGACCAGCTTCTGAAAACTGATTCTGATTCTGCTTCTGCTTTAAAAAAGAACCAGAAGCAGAATTAGTTCCAAACACCCCCTATATAACACCTTCCGGATCCGTGTCGTTGGTCTGGCCTATTTATCGCATTGGGTTTTATTTTTAAATATTGTTTAATTTTGTTACTAATAGGGTTTTATATATATTAATGTCAAAGTTGTGTATCGGCAAATGTGAAAAGTTGACCGTTGCACTTATTTAAGAACGGAGGAAGTATTAATTATCTAAACACACACCATCACTGGAACTACTACATCACCTCACTGCACACAACTGTGAACAATCGGATCACTAATCTCAAAATAATCTATGGATTTAAGAATGCACAACTATAATCCAATGGTTTACATATGTTGAACATACTTTACGTCCTAACATGTACATATTTTGCTCACTCATATTCATCCGTATAGAAATCCTTTTGTGTTTGATTTTTTTTTTTTGTATCCTTATGTGTTCGATATTAGTTCTTAATTGTTGTGCGTTAAATACTGCCTTTTGTGATTAAGATACTTGTTCTGGTGCTTTGTATACAAACTATGTGTAAGATGCTACTTTTCATGTGTATTAGATATTGATCGTTGTGTGTTAGATTGATGTTCTTGTCTGTGTGATAGCGGGAGATGCATGTGGTTTATTGTATACGAAGTACATATTATACTTATTTAAAAAAATTATATATGCAAATGCAATATTGGTGTGATATGAAAGATAATAAAAAATTATTGGCTAAAGGGTCAAATAGGTACATGAACTAACTTAAAGTGTTCAATTAGCCACTTATATAGGAAGTTCTACCCGGCCGTCGCCAATTGGGGCGGTTCCCGGTGGAATTTTTTGATGAAATTTTTTGAGCATCTTCTTCATTAAGTCTAGTTTACCCATATCAAATTTCAGCTAAAAATTAAATCGGGAAGGCAGTCAAATGATATTCCGAAATGTAATGCGCTATTTAACTGCACAGTTATCTTAAAAAATTCATTTGACTGCCTTCGGTTGATTTTTTAGCTTAAATTTGGTATAGGTAAACTAGACTTAATGAAGAAGATGCACAAAACAATTCATCAAAAAATTCCACTGGAAACCGCCCCAATTGGCGACGATCGGGCAGAGGCTCCTATATAAGGGGCTAATTGAACACTTTAAGTTAGTTTATGTACCTATTTGACCCTTTAGCCAAAATTATTTAATTTCATAGTAGTACTACCTCCGTCCCGTTGGAAGGTTCCCCTAGCAAAATGACACGGTTATTTAGGCAGTAATCAAATAAAGTACTTCAAGTATATTTTGAGAAATAATCTTAATACTCCGTGTGTGTGTGTGTGTGTGTGTGTATATATATATATATATATATATATATTATAATGTAGTTAATATTGATAACTGTGATGTTATAAATTTATTATTTTTAATATTTAATGATTAATTTGTCACTTAAGATTGTTAATTGTTTCCTAAAATAGAAATGAGAACCTTTACGTGGGACGTCCAAAAAAGGAAAGCGGGAACCTTCTAATGAGACAGAGGGAAACATAATTTGTGATAAAATTGGATTATAATTTAAAAAGTTAAATCAATTTTAAACTAAAAACATTTTATATGATTTGAGTTTTTATTTTTACCTACTTTTTTGGAAAGTGGTAGCCTCCAACAGTTACATTATTAAATGAATTTGATAGAATTACTCTAATTCCCTGTATTAGTTCCACATCCCAATTCCATTTGTACGAGATAAGTTATTTTGTCCTAGATGTTCATATTTGTACTATGAACCAATTACTTAATGGCCGGTGATTTAATGAGATGGTGGGTTATGATGCGTTCGCACTTCTCACAATAAGAGATGTTCTCATTAGAACCACTCCCCGTGTAATTGTATTTATTTGTGTTTATATAGATTATGGCTCTAAGATTAAAGTTATATGCATTCTAATGATCTAATACATATAAAGATAAAGTTTTTCTTGTTACTGTGTTCACTGTTTAGTGTTGTATTAATTTTTTAAACCAACTCATTGTTCATTTATTTTCATGGATGAATTTTTATAGTTTTTTATCGATTCACTTACATATCGAATTAATTCTTCATTGGATACGAAGCTATTTAGGCTTTAGCTTTGGCAGGATGCTAAACTATTATGGTTTTAGCACTATTAGTGATTATTTTAATATGTATAATAATACACTTACATTGTAAGAAACCTACACAAATACAATTTTAGATCACATGTAGGCTTATGAATATGTGCATGATAATACACACTCAGTAGCAGGGAGTTTTAATGTCATATCATATAATATGGTTGCTATTCGTACCTGTAATATGGACCCTGAAGATATATTTTCTGATCTGCCACATACCTACTTGATATCTCAGTGATACTCCCGCGATGCTGTTGATGTCCCCCACTTCAGATCATTGCAATGCCTCTTGATCTTATCATTTTTCTTCAGTCTAAAGTCCTCATTTCCAACACCATAATTCTCAACTCTACTTTACAACTTAAGAATGGAGCTAAGCTTAAAATGATGCAAGTGATGTCATTTAGTTTTATGAAAAAATTAATCTTGAGTTAAATTTAATTAAATATTTCCCTTCTTGATTTTGTGCTTAGGAAAATGGAAATACCACTAATTTGAAGAGGGAGTTGGTCAAATTGTTTGGTGTTTCACTTTGCCAAGGGCTGCATACTCAATTGAATATTGAGCCACAGATTAAGTTGTCCAAATCAATGTTTGGCGATTACCAGTGGTATTAACTACTAACTCAATCACATATATGGTTTCTTATCTGTTATCTTTTTCGGTTACAAACTTATTGTAACATTTGGTTTGCTAACACGATAACATTTTTTGAGTAACTGTGATGTGTAATAGTTGTTGTATTTACCATTGTTTGCTGAAGGTTATTATCAAGGAGAATTAGTGACTTTTTTATATCCCTGATAGGCATTCTAGTTGCATTTGGTAACCTGATTGTCATTTTTAATGTTATATCATAATATGTTGCTATGATTATTTCAGTGAAAGTGCCAAGGTTATGTTTGCTAAACTGAAAGGAACATGTAGTCAATACCAGAACTCTCTAGCTGTTGGAGAGGTTAGTATTGAATAATTGTGTGTCCTTTACAATTTTACTTTTTGGCAGGCCATCATGAGAAACCTTCCCTTTTCTGAAATCTTAGAGTCATCCTCGGTTGCTGCAAATGGGTTCGTGAATGTCGTTTTGTCAAAAACATGGATGGCTAAGGTGCTTTGCATAATCCTTTTTCATATGTTTTCCGCGACTGTGCAGTGAACATTGACATTAAACCTTAAGCCTCCACGGGCGGAAAATAATGCCCAGTAGTGTTTGTTTCTTTTGGTACACAGTTTTGAGAAATTAAGGGAGTGTTTGCGATTGCTTCAACTTTAAAAAAGTGATTTTTTAAAGTGATTTTTGGGAAAAGTGGTTAATAGTAAAAGTTGGTAGTGTTTGAGAAAAAAGTGATTCTGAAAAAGTAAAAGTTGGTAGTGTTTGGTAAAATAAGTACTTTTTGTGTAATAGAAAAAGTGAGAAGCAGTTTAAAGCACCCTTCTACCTGCTTCCAGCTTTTAGCTTTTAAGTGATTAATTTAAGCAGAAGCTATCCTTTGAAAACACTCTTTTCAACTTTTTTTAAGCCAAAAGCTGAAAAACGCTTTTTTTAATCAACCCCAAACACTCCTTAAATAGTAGACACAAAGCTTTTGCATTGAATAAAAATACATATTTTATTCATCATTTTATACTTCATTGATACCACAATGCTCGCTGGAATGAATGCATTTAATGTTATGTGCTGCATAACATTCAAGAGATGCTTGTCAACGACATTGAAACTTGGGCACCTATGCTTTCGATCAAAAGGGCGCTTGTAGATCACTTTCGATCAAAAGGGCGTTCCAGACACAAACAATAAAAATGTGAATATTTTTTTCTCCGTTACCTTTATTTATATGTTCTCTGAATGTGATGTTGTTTTTGAAACTTGTGGACAATCCTTTAGTGAGCTTTCACTAAGCCATTAACATATACTACCTATGTCCCACTAGCATTGGGACATGAGGAGGTGACACACTTATTAAGAAAAATGAGTTTGTGTGATTGATAATGTAAGAATAAAGTAAGAATAATTTAGAACCACACAAATTTTACCAAATTTGGTATAGCACAATCTTAGTGGAACGGACCGCAAAGGAATGATGGGAGTATTAGGCTACTGTCATAGGAATATTTTTAAATACACACTGTCTGATTTGGGATGTTAGCTCTAAGAGGGAGTAATGTCTCCTTTTGCCCTTATTCCCTGTAAATATTGCTTGAAATGAAAATGGATGCCGACCCTGTTTTTTCTGTTCAATCCATTTGAGTCTCACTAGTGTAGTTGAATTTAGAGAAAAATGGTTAGGATAGTATCAACAATGTTTTATTGAATGTACAGAAAAAGCTTAGCAAAATGTAAACAATAACTTTGTATAACTATCATTTATGTTGGCATGCTTTTCCATTTTGACAGGGAGAAAGCTTTTACAATCCATATATTCCCGGGGTGATAGAGGAACTTACCCATAAAGGGTTAGTCAAAGAAAGTGCAGGTGCTCGTGCCATATTCATTGAAGGCTATTGCGTGCCTCTAATTGTTGTGAAGAGAGATGGAGGTTATAACTATGCTTCTACTGATCTTGTTTCTCTTTGGTTAGTTTGTCTCTCCTTAATTAATCTATACATTTGTGATTTCTACTTTCTAGTAGTTGGCAGTAATGCAGTAATGCTATCTCTGTAAATGCTCCCTCAGATTTCTCTATTGTTCGTTGATTGAGTTTCAGTAGATGGGATAGGAACATATTATGGATCATAACTTGCTCCAAAGTTAGAGGCATAACTATTGTGGTTTCTTGTTTTTTTTTTGGAGATAAATGTAAATATATATTAACACCCAGAAAAAATATACATCACATATTCTAGATCTCCTAAAACCTCCCCCACCCCCACATAATGTGAGGGTGAAAGGGGTTTTTTATTCGATCTATTCTATGCCAAAATAACCAAGTATAATACTTGGCCTATCAAGAGGTTCAAAGATACATCGGTGCCGCACATGCACACACACAGATCAGAGGCTAACAATCTAATCAAAATACAAAGGTGTTGCAAGATGTACACACCCTAAAGTCCAAGACCATGCTTCATGTTGCGGCATCCATTATGTCCATGCCGCGGTGTCCCAAGTGCCCAAGTCGCAGCATCCAAGATATCCATGCCTCAGCGCACCAACCAGTCGTGTAGCCATCTGTCCATATCGCGGCATCCATAATGTCCATGTCGCGGCCTTCTAGTAAAAAAACTATCAAATCCTGTGGGTAGAGACTAAAGAGTATCCGATATACTACAGTCTTGATTTTAGCAACAATGTCCTCCTCCATCTTCATTACTTCATCAAACCTTACCGCGTTCCTTGCATGCCAGATGTAGTAGACTGCGGCACAGAATGCCAGTCTAGCTGCTTTGGCCTTCAGCTTCGAACCTCTGTGCATCTTCATTATCCATTTGATCGAGCTGAGTAGCGTGGTCATTTGGTGACTAAATCCAATCCATTCCCTGATCCTTTTCCATACCCTACATGTAAAAGGACATTGGAAAAAGAGGTGTGGTATTGTTTCCAAACCACCCTTGCATAAGACACATCTATTTACTATATGCAGATAACCGAGGCTATCCTGGGTAGGAAGCCGGTTTTGTGGTTTCTAGTGTTTGAGCATGTAGTTGAGTTTCGGTAGACATGTTAGGGGCGTATTGTGCTTTCTAGAGTGCGGCGCATGTTGTTTTCTACTTGATTTGTGGCATTTGTTGTAACTTGTAGGTGGAATAATGGTCAAATAGGTCCCTGAACCAACCCAACTAGGAGCTCTTTTTGGGCCCTTTTGGTTTAGGCCTTTGGGTTGTGGATGGGAGGCAATGGGGTAGTTAAATTACTTTCATCTACTTTGTCAATATATTTATCGTACATCAAAACATAAATATTGCCTCTGTTACTTCAGTTACCTACTGAGAAACAAAGACTTATTACTATTATTGTCCCTTTTAAGGTGTTTTTTTCAATACTCAGCTCCCTCCTTTCCTTATAACTTTGTCATCTTTCCTTTTTTGTTGTTGTCCCCTTTTAGTCAATTAATTTATTGTCCGAATCATTTCTCTCTTTTCTGTACAAACCTCCACCACACAGCTTCTAGTATGTTATTCCCACGTGCACGTCAGCTTGTCAAAGTTATAAGGGATGGAGGGGGTATATAAGGAGTGTTCAATATAAACTGATCCTTTGTGTTTTCTTTTTGCTCTAAATGCTCTATATCCAGGACTCGTTGAATTTCATTTGGTTACGCCTTTTTATGTGTGTTTCATCACTTCATGATTGAATGCTCAATTTAAGTAAGTAGTGTGATTGCGAGTTGGTTACCGCATTAATTTTGGTTGCTAATATTTCTTCCTCTTGGTATAGCCTGAATGAGGAGAAAGCTGATTGGATTATTTATGTCACTGATTCTTCCCAGGAACAACATTTCACGATGATTTTCAAAGTGTGTCCTTGCTTTTATGGGTGTGGTTTCTCTTATAAAATTCTTTTATCTTTATCTTCTTAATTAAAAAAATTTATAAAATAATGGTGAAGATTATTTGAAAACAATTTATATATTTTTAATGGTAGTTTGATTATGGATATGTTTTTTTTAATTTCAAGTATAGTATTTTCCAAGTGTCTAACTTGTATTTTTTTTAATTTAAGGCAGCCAAACATGCAGGTTGGCTCCCGTCTGCTCATAATTTGTACCCAAAAGTCACTCATGTGGCTTTTGGCGTTTATAAAGGGGAGGATGGAAAGCGCTTTCAGACTCGTAAAACTGATGTCATTCTATTAGCTGATGTTCTTGACGAGGCCAAGAAGCGTTGTAAAAGTGAACTTATAGAGCGTGGCATATATAGTAACCGTAATAATTTACATACTCCGTATAATACAGAGTAATTTATTTTCCATCATTTTCAATGGAATCAAAGACTCACTATTTTTTGGCTTGAGAATATGATGGAATAAAGCAAAATGGCTCACTAAACTGTTTGTGCTTCTTTGTTATGAAGTAACAGTCAGTCTATGCAATTTTCGACGTGGTTTTCACTATGGGTCATTTTTATTTAATGACCTTTATTAAATAATTTTATTATAATTATTATTTTAAATAAATATAGCGTACTATTTGTCTCGAATATAAGCCCAAAATATTATCTCGCCCATAGGCCCGAAAATAGACCGGACCGGCTCTGATGCTAGTGGAACTTTTGTTATATTGTCTTTTTTGTGCTTTTTGTTGTGTCATGTTGATTGTTTAATGTTGTATGCACTTGTTTTTTGTTGATCGGATTCCAGTTGTATGTAGTAGTGTCTATGTTAGTGTGGATGTATTTATGTCTATACACACAGCCTAAATTGATAAGTTGCAATTCTTTTTAATAAATAACACTTATATTAATACGGAGTATTAAATTGATAATGAAATGTAAATCAGTCTAGATAAATTTGACTCTATCTCTAAATATGTGAGATATTTGAAGAAATATTAAATCATACGGAGTATAAAACTAACCATCACAAATCTACTCTAGATCCATACACTCTAAGTTCCATTGATAAAACTAAATTGAATCAATATAGTATATATCACGTATAAAACAATAAATACCCGGGTAATAAAAAATCAAATTCCTTCTTGATTTATCAGCTTCTAAGAATAGAATCAGTCAGTCAAGTATCTTGTGGTCTGAAGGCATCACCTTGGCACTCCCAAGGAGGAAGTCACAGGTTCGAATCACATCCCAGTTCAAGGATATTAGCATTAACATTGAACATATAGTTAGAAAGAATTGTTCAAAAAAAGAATAGAATCAATCACTTTTTTGGGAAGAAGAATCAGAATGAGTCACTTGTTAGTAACTGCTCTCCATTAATTACTCTTGTCTCTTTCCAAATTCATTCTCATTACACTTATGACTTATCTATATACTGTACATAATAATAAAAATAAAATAGTGAGAGAGGACTTTTGGATCGAAGGTTGTAGCACTTTGTATGAATATTTATTTAATGTAAAATTTATTGATAGGGTTAAATTGTTTGTGATTAAAAAAAATAGTGATGGATGAGTTGTAGTGTAGCATATTGACGGTAAAAATAGAAACGTGATTTAGAGCCTAAACGGGTTGATGACAAAATAAAAGAGAATAAAAAACTTTTATTATTAGATAGGCTGTTGAACTTCTCAAAGAGAAACCCATAATTATTCACATATGGAAGAAAAAAAGCGTGTAACTCACAGATATGAAGTAAATGATCTCAATAATCTTCAATGCATAATCTATTTATATATACAAGAAAAGAAATAGCTCATATAAATACAATTTTACCCTTGAAAACTCTTATGTGTCATTCTCCCCACAAATTACTCCTCTACCGTGCAAATGCCATGTGGCGAATTCAAGATTGATACCCAACTAACTGAACAAGCAAAGAACAAAGGAAGGTGACCCTTCATATTAAAAAAACACGTGGCATTAATTTTGTGGGGCCCAATATATAAAAAACACCATTTCTTTTAAAGTGTTATAAGTTTTTAAGCATTTATCTGATATTTATAAAAATTATATCAAAATTTATAATTTTTTACGATCTTTCATTTGACACCAATATTGAATACATAAAAGTTTAAAAAAATCTGAAGATTTATTAAACAATCTTCCCATTTTCCAACCTTATTATTATTTTTTTTCTATTCTGATTTGTCGTCACATGTTTATTCATAACCGCACCGCCTCCTCATGTCTCAATATTGGTGTAAGTGTGAGATATGTATTAGAACATAAGCTTACTAAAAATTGAGTGAAAGAACTTTCTCTCTCATTAACACTTCTTTGAAGTATAATATAAGCTGATTAAGAATTGAGCAGAAGAATTTTCTCTCATATATAATGTTTCTGAGTATAAGATAAGCTGACTAATAATTGAGCGGAAAAGTTTTTTGTCTCATATGTAGTGGTTTTAGATATTAGAAGATTAGCGTGCTAACAATTGAGCGGGATACTTTTCTCTCTCATAATCAATTTTTTAAGTACTACCTCCATCCCCCTAAGTTTGGGACAAGACAAGGTAACACGGTTATTAATAAAAGTGAGTTTATGTGATTGATATTTAATTGATAAAGTAAGAATAAAGTAGAAATGATTTAGAACAACACAAAATTTACCAAATAAGGTATGAGACAATCTCAGTGGGACGGACTGAAATGGTAAAATGGGACAATCATAACGAGACGGAGGGAGTATAAGATAAGATAAGTCGGCTAATAATTGAACAGAAAAATTTTCTCTCTCATATATAGTGCTTTAAGGTATAAGAAAATAAACCGCCTAACAATTGAGCGAAAAAATTCTCTCTCTCATTTGTAGTGCTTTTGGGTATTAGAAGATAAACTTGCTAACAATTGAACGGGAAATCTTTCTCTCTCATATATAGTTCTTCTAAGAATAAGAAAAGCCAGTTAACAATTGAGCGGGATAATTTTCTCTCACGTGTGTAGTGCTTTTAGGTATTAGATAAGTTAACTAACAATAGAGTGAGAAGATTTTCTCTCTCATATGTAGTGCTTTTTGGTATTAGAAGATTTTCTCTCTCATGTGTGGTGCCTTTAGGCAACATAAGTTGACTAAAAACTGAGCGGGAAGATTTTCTCTCATATGGAGTGCTTTTAGGTATTAAAAGATTAGAAGATAAGCTTGCTAACAATTGAGCGGAAGAATTTTCTCTCTCATGTGTAGTGCTTTTAGGTAAGATAAATTGACTAACAATTGAGCGGAGAAACTTTCTCTCTCACATTTAGTGCTTTTAGGTATTAGAAGATTATAAGACAAGTTTGCTAACAATGGAGCGAAGAACTTGATCTCTCACAAATAGTTTTTTTAAGTACAAGATAAGTCAGCTAATAATTAAGCGAAATAATTTTTCCATCATATGTAGCCCTTTTAGGTATTACAAAATAAGCTTTCAAACAATTGAGCAGGGAATTGAGTGAGATTATTTTCTCTATCACATGTAGTGCTTTTAGGTATTACAGAGCAGAAGACAAACATCCTAACACTTGAACGGGATAATTTTCTCTCTTATATATAATGCTTTTAGGTATAAGATAAGTCGGCTAACAATTATAATTATTAGATTTATAATTGTAATTAAAAATATAACTTAAATAAAATTACAATTATAATCATAATTATAAAAAATAATAATTAAAATTAAATTTAAAATTATAATAATTATACTAATTACACTAATTATAAGTACAGATACAATTATAAATGTAATTATATTTTTAATTATGATTAATTTTATAATTATTATTGTAATTATAATTATACTCCGTAATATTTATTTCTATAATCATAATTATATCTATAATTACTAATTTAAATATATAATTACTCCGAAGTAATAATAATTACAACAATAACAACAAGAACAACAATCATATTAATAATAATGATGATTATAATTATAATTACATTGTAAATCATAATTATAATTATATTATATTATATTCTATTCTATTTTATTCTATTCTATTCTATTCTATTCTATTCTATTCTATTCTATTCTATTCTATTCTATTCTATTCTATTCTATTCTATTCTATTCTATTCTATTCTATTCTATTCTATTCTATTCTATTCTATTCTATTCTATTCTATTATATTATATTATATTATATTATATTATATTATATTATATTATATTATATTATATTATATTATATTATATTATATTATATTATATTATATTATATTATATTATATTATATTATATTATATTATATTATATTATATTATAATAATAATTTTATATTATTAACATTATTATTATTATATTATTAATAATATTATTATATTAATATATTAATATTATTAACAATATTTATAATATAATAATCATAATTAATATATTAATAAAAGTGATAAATCATGTTTGAATTTTTTGATCTGATCTGATCTGAATGTTTCTGATCTGATCTGAATGTTTCTGATCTGGTCTGATCTGATCTGAATCTTTCTGATCTGATCTGAATGTTGCTGATCTGATCTGACTCTTTCTGATCTGATCTGAATGTTTCTGATCTGATCTGATCTGAATCTTTCTGATCTGATCTGAATCTTTCTGATCTGATCTGATCTGATCTGAATAAAATAAGATTAAGGAATAAGTAATAAGATTAAGACGAACGGAACAGCTTCTAAGTTGGCTAACAATTGAGCGGGGTAATTTTCTCTCTCATATGTAGTGCTTTTAGGTACAAGGAGATAAGGATATAAGCTTTCTAACAATTGAGCGGAAGAACTTTCTCTCTCATATGTAGTTCTTTTTAAGCATAAGATAAGATAATACGGCTAACAATTTAGCAAGAAAATTTAGTTATCACGTGTAGTACTTTTAGATATAAGAAGATAAGATAAGATAAGATAAGATAAGATAATACGGGCAACAATTTAGCAAGAAAATTTATCTCTCACATATTAGCCAACTTATCTTCTTATACCTAAAAGCACTACATGTGAGAGATAAATTTTATTGCTTAATTGTTAGCCGTATTATCTTATCTTATCTTATCTTATCTTATCTTATCTTATCTTATCTTATCTTATCTTATCTTATCTTATCTTATCTTATCTTATCTTATCTTATCTTATCTTATCTTATCTTATCTTATCTTATCTTATCTTATCTTATCTTATCTTATCTTATCTTATCTTATCTTATCTTATCTTATCTTATCTTATCTTATCTTATCTTATCTTATCTTATCTTATCTTATCTTATCTTATCTTATCTTATCTTATCTTATCTTATCTTATCTTATCTTATCTTATCTTATCTTAACTTATCTTATCTTATCTTATCTTCTTATATTTGCAAGCTTTTAGGTATAAGAAGATAAGTTAGCAATAAGATAAATTAACTAACAATTGAGTGGAATAATTTTCTCTCTCATATGTACTGTTTTTAGGTATAAAGATGACAAACTTGCAAATAATTGAGTGACATAATTTTCTCTCTCATATGTAGCGCTTTTAGTTATTTTATATCTAAAAGCTAGAACTACATACGATAAAAAATTCTAACTCTTAATTGTTAGCCGAATTGTCTTATATCTAAAATCACTACGTATAAGTGGGACACTTCTGCCACTTATTTGTTAGCCAGATTTTCTCTCATATGTTAGCACCAATTTAACTAATAATTATCAAGTTCTTATTTAACTAATATTCGTTAGT